ACCTTGTGTGTCTCCTGAGGCTATGTGAACACTAAAACATTCACTGTGAGTGCGTGTCAGGACACTCTGCTGTCTGACCCGCGTGATGATGCAAGAGATTTTGGGGCGAGGAGGGGAGGGAGGACGCCCAGCAGCCTTTGGCAAGATCTCGTGGCTATTTTCCTCTCCACATTTAGCATCTTTAATCTGGTCTGATTTGGTTTACATGGCTGCCAGTTGGAGAGAAAAATGCAAGTGAGGAGGAAAGCCTTATGTGAACTAGACCTCAAGGTTTTCTGTGTGTAGTTGTATTTTATAGTTATTCTTGCTTTGTTTCTCTGCTGAACAATCAGCAACCCACTTTGGGCCAGACTGAAATATCTTTTCTTTATCTTTATCTCAATTGTACTTTGTGTTAGTAAGAATTATTAGTGACTAATATTAGCATGCTAACACGCTAACCTAGGGTGGTGAACATGGTAAACTAACACCTGCTAAACATCAGCATATTAAGATTGTCATTGTAAGCATGTTAGCATGCTGATGTTAGTATTTAGCTCACTGCTGTGCCTCAGTACAACCTCCCAGAGCTGCCAGCATGGCTGCAGATTCTTGTTTACTTTTTTGTTTCATCCTGTCCCTCAGAGGTTTATGATTACACTTGATTGAATATGATATTGTTTTATACTAGCGAGGATTTTGTTTGTCCCGTTGGCTTCACTCCTCTCTGCACATACCCATTTAGCGTTCCCCTCCTGGCAAAAAAATGTGTTTTGCTTATTGTTACGTCACTTGGATGATTGAGATTGAGAGTTTGATACTAGAGGGTTGTTTTCACATTCATCTGCTAATAGTGTCTCTGTGATCACATTAAATCTGAGTTTAAGACGTGGACGAGCACAGTTTTGTGACATCACAACTTGTTTGGGAGCCAGTCGTAGTTTATTTGCAGCTTACACAAATGTGATGTGAAAACTAGACCTAGAAACTTGAATGGAGAATGGACTCTTCAGGGAATTAGGAGACATCTTGTGTTTAGCAGTACACCTTTGAAATGACTACTATTTGCATATTAATAGATTCTGGATTGAGGGAGGAAGTAAATATATTTTAAAGAATTCATTTAGTTATTTGAACTTTGTTCAGGCACAAATTAATATGCAAAGCAAAGCATATTTTATCTCTCTGGAGGGGATATTTAAATTAAATCATATTAAAGTAGCCTAGAATACAATGGCTCCAACATATTAGGAATAACCCCAAGCTCTGCAGTGAAACCTTATCCCTGCATTGCCTCTTTGTCTAGAGTCATCACGCATCAGCTCTGCATCTACTAGTGTGCATCAGCACTGACAGTCTTCTACGACTATGAGTGCATGAGCTTATATGTGACGTCGCAGCTTGTGACGTCAGAGGTTACATATCATCTACGCCGGACAGCTAATTCCGCATTCTACTTATCCCTGTAAGGTTCACTTCCCACTGCTGCCACTGCTGCTCAGTTCACCTTGTCGTGTCCTTTCCATGCAGGGAGGATGAGGGAGAGGAGTGGGAGGGCTAAGAGAGAGAGAGAGCGATGGGTGGAGAAAGAAAAGGGTGAGGATGGTTGTGTCCCCATAATCTGTCCCTCACTCAAGATAAAAGTTACGTGTGAAAGCACATTGCTGGTTCCCCAGGAGGTTTTAGATCGCTGGCTTCTTGGGCACTAGGGGAGATTGGTAGCTTGGGTCATATTAGCTTGGTGTGTAGTAAGTCACTGCGAGGAGAGGATCAATCATTAGTCCTATGGTTATTGGCTGTGACAAGCTATATAGTCCTTTAGTGTCTCTGAGTGTGTGTGTGTGTGTGTGTGTATGTGAGTCCTGGCATGCATCTCCCTTCCATAACTGCACTCAATTGCTGTCTCTTCAGCTTGCAGCCATCAAAGCACAACACCAACTCTGTCTTTGCTTTCCACTTTGCAAGTGTCTGGGGATTGAACATGCGTTGACAGCAGCCATGGGCAGCAGTGTGCACAGCAGCACTGTTCCACTTACTCAAAACAGCCACCAACAGCTCATTTTTATTCATTCAATTGCTCTTTCCCTGCAAAGCTATACGCACATCCCCACAGGCACTGCTTGATAGAGTTGTTTTTCATCCATTTAGCCTAAGAAATAACTGTCTTCTGCTCTCTTACTGCCGAGCCTCTGTCTGTCTCCCAGCCAAAGAAGTCATAGTGACACACAGACTCGGACACACAAATAAGATTTGGTTGAATTTAGAGCTCTTTCTGCATCACCTCAGGTCTCCTCCAGTTCCTATACTGTTATAGTGCTTAAATTGGGCCAGTTCCCACCTATTCTGAGTACCAGTTTGACAATTATTACCACCTCCACATACTATTTATTTTTTATTATCTAATGAATGTATTAAAAAAGTATTCATGGTGTAATTATTGTAAGAGTGTGGGCAAATTAGGCCTGTTTTGTGCTCAAACAAGCTATGAGAAGTGACATAAATGCGCAGCTGTGTGAGGTCCAATATGTCTAAGGCTAATAGCTTAGTTCTGCTAATGCCTCCAATTTCCTCTATCCATAAATGGTCTGTACAGCTTCCAAGTATTAAAGGATAACAAAAATAATTGTTAGTTGCAGCCCTGATTAGTTATTTATACCCTCAAATTTATCATTCTTCAACACAATTTTGCATATATTGCCTTCAAATCCTGGATGTGCATGTAACAGTATGCAGGCTGTTGATTTAGTATCAGCAGTAATGTAAAGCTTTCTATATCAGTTCATGGCTAAGTGCAAGGTTATAAACACAAAACTAAGTAACCAACTCTCCCCCTTGAATGTATAAATTTATTTTAAAAACCATTTATTCTGTTATATAAATCTTAGTCATCTTGAAGCTGTTTTGGTACCCGAGTCTGTTCTACCTGGTGTGGAACATTCATCATCATCTTGGGTCAGAATATCAGAATCTTTCTGTAGAGAAAGAATAATTGGCAATATCCTCGAACAGCACCAAAATAGTGACTGTGTTATTACGTCCAACCGTTATGCACTTCTAGATATGATTAGAAAAAAAGAGCTCCAAAAGAAATTCTCCCTTTGATGTTATCCATGTCCTTTTTAACAAGAAGTACATGTATCTCAGCTCAGATGACTCATTAAAGCCTGTCTGGTCTGGTTAAAGCATATGTGCTTCCAGTTTTTATACAGTTTTATATCTGTTTTACATCTTTTTTTGTACATTCACATTATGTATACATGTGAACCCAGGTACTGATTACTGTGCTCATTTTGGTGTAAAATAGCACAGTATGTGATTATACAGCTTGGATGAACACCAGAAGTGTCACTATGTACATCGCTCGTGGTGTCACAGCTGTGGCTCACAAGCACTCAACACATAGTTGCCCATGTCCGACACTACACTTACTATTTTACAGCTGTACATTTTACACAAACACCTCCATCTTAACGATTCGGTTTATCATTGTCCACCAAATGAGGTTAGTTTCCCCTAAGTTACAGATCCTGTGACGTAGACTCCATACCTGATAAGCAAGGCACGGGCACATGTCTCCATGGCAACCAGCTCAAGGGGGATTTGAAGACATTGTAATGATGTGTAGGTGAAACTAATGACAGGAAGTGTGTGTGTGTGTGTTTTGCATTGCTGTCAGTATATTGAGCTGATTCACAAGTGGGATCAGAAAAGACTTTGCTAAGATGACTCATAGAGCACCAATCCTCAGAAAGTCTCACGCTGCATAAACTACTGTCACAGGCTTAGTCTTATAAACCGTCCCTGCTCTGTCTGTCACAGATCACCACTCTATGCCTTACCCCTGGAAAGATATGTCTCACTTTCCCTCGCTTAGTCTACTTCCGTATTTCAGGATTTTTAGGAGAAATTCTTTCATTGCAAGAAGTGCGTGCATGTGTGATTTTTCTGTATTTTACTAGAGGACAGACTTCATCCACTGACCGTAGCTTTTGCAGTTTCTTTGGTCACGCATTGTGACGTTCCCTGAAAGCCTTTTTTCCTGCCTCAGTCCATCCTCTAAGGGCCGTGTCTGGCCTCGTTGCGTCAGATTGCTGCTCCCTCAAGCCATCTGGTTACATCACAAACTGGAGCTTGATGGTGGCAGAGCTGGAAATATTATCAGCAGACAGAGACTGAGAGAGAGACACAGAGTGAGGGGACAGGAGCCCAGAGGAGTTACTTCTCTTTTTATGTCTGTGCACATGGATCTGTGCCATGTCTGAAGCTATAAGAGTGTTTAGCTTGTTGCTGCCCACACTTTATCTTTTCCCCTTTCTCTCGCTCTCTCTTTCGATAGCAGACTGCCTTTTGTATAAAGTCTAGACTAGAGTTATTTCGTGTATGTGCATAAAAATGTGTATGTACAAATATCCTTACTTACAATATGTTGTGTGTATGTGTGTATAAATATACACAGCAAGGGGTCAAAAGTAGATATTGCTTAAGGTTAAGGGGTCTCTAGCTAAAAGCATTGGGGACAATTGCTGAAGAAAGTATGTTCTGAAGACACAGGTCAGCGATTAATAACACAATAATGCAGTTTTATTCCATTACAGATAATTAACACACTCCTGATGTTGTTATCCGTGGGTGCAGGTGTTGGTGTTACGAGGTTCACATCGCAGTACAATCAAGCTGATATTTGTTGTTTGACATGATCTTAATTGGAACAGGGAGGTTGTGACTATGTCATGTTCACCTCAATCATCACCTAACATGTAATTTACTATAGAACAGCATCTGACTATTTATTTTACATCTCATAAAGGAGCCAGGCTTCTGTTTTAAATACATACATAACATACTGATGTTGCTTTTGACAATCAGTATGACAAAATGACAAATCTTCTGAGTGATAGAAATTGATTGACCTGTCTGGAATTAGCAGCATTTTTTCATATTGGGAACCAGTGCACCATCATAGCATCAAGCTGATAAAAGCTTCAACCCTAACATGTTTTTTTGTTGTTTTTGTTTTGCAGAAAGTGAGCGAGAAAGTTGGAGGTGCAGAAGGAACGAAGCTCGATGTGGACTTCACTGAGATGGAAAAGGCAAGACTATACTCCTTCTATTGTCCCCATTATGACCTTGTAGAGAATTAAAGGCTCATTATTAGTTCACCATAAGATTATCAAAATGTCAATAACAGACTTGTGAAGATGCATTGTTAATATAACAGCAGCCAGAAACAGTACATATTCACCAGTGTTGTTCTGCATTATTAAACTCATTCTGAGACGGTATTTCTCAATTTTAGTGGATCTAAAACATTTCTTAACATTTTGTTTACAGAAACACTTGCTGGTTATTATGTGGTAAACATGGCTCCTTGAAAAATTGTTAGAGGCACCAAATATTTGGTCAAAAAGAACAATTAATGTCTCATCAAGTTAAATGTAAACTGGAAAGTTGCAAACTTCCGGTTAAAGGTTAGAGAAGTGGGCTTGTTAGTGAAACCCCAGCTGCTCCTGTGAAGCTTCTCAGACTGTGGTTGTACTGGCCAGCTTCCAGCTATGAATGTGTGTAACTGTGTGTTTGCTCAGGGATTGCCTTGTAGCAAATATTTCCCAATAAATAAAGGTAAAACAAGAAGTTGGATGAAAATGACAACTTGCCTTTATCTTAAAACCTGTTTTTTTCTCTACTTTATGAAATAAAAGCATCTTAGTATTCTTGCACATCTGGCTGAGAGCTAGAAACTAAGATTTCATCCATGGTAATACCTTTATATCATATATTGTGTGTATATGTGCGCATGTTGTATACGCTCACACGTGTGTAGATGCCTAAAAATATCAGTGCCCTGAATAACATAATGTATGTTTTTCCATATGTGAGCAACAATACATATGAGTGTATTATACTCTGCACGTCTCTTTCTCACAGATGTTCTGCAGAACAAAGCATCCTGTTTTTTTTTCTCTTGTCAGATGACAAGTTCATAGATCCATAAATTGTTTTTATTGCTGTAATATTTCTCTTATCCTCTCCCACCGTCTTTTAACCATTACCTATTTTTGTTACTATCGACATGTTTTCTTAATGGTTATTTCTGGACCTTCTGTTTCTGTCTCCTTCCACGTGTCTTTTCTATGTTGTGGTTTACAGAAGATGGACACCACCGCTCGGGCGGTGCTGGACATCATGACCAAGACTACTGAGTATCTGCAGCCAAACCCAGGTGACATAAAGCAGCTGTGCATGATGATTATATTATTATTATACTGTACACGCATTCATACACATACATACCATATCATATCACATCATATATGATTAACAATGCAATAACAAATGTTTACAGCCACATTCAACCAATATACTGTACTAGTATTGATTTAAGCACATAGATGTAATGAGTTCCCTTTTTTATTGTCCTGTATATTTACATTTAGTTATTACTTTAAACTATATATTAAGCTTTGGGGAAAACTACACAGCAAAGACCCCGTATTTAAGGAGTAATCGGACTGTTTAGACCATCATCTGATAACTAAATTAATCACAAGATGAGATGTTGATGTTTCAGGACCTGTCAGATTGAGCTCAGTGGGTGTAACTGACTAATCGATAACATCGTGCTTTCGCTTTGCTGTAATTAAACACAGCAGCACATTGTGATGTCAGGGAGAAACTAAAATAGAAATGTCTTTTCAGTCACAGACAGGGGAAGATGTAAGGGGGAAAACACCAGGCTGGATTACTTTAATAATAACCAGCTGGACTTGTGTCACTAGTTCTGTGTTTTGAAGCTAGCTACTTTAGCCGGTAGTTAAAGCAACCTGTCCATCAGGAGACTCAGTAGATCACAGAGAGTTGAAGATTAGCAGCCAGAGGACATCAGAGAAAAAAACAGGAAATATTTTCTCCATATATATGATCCAGTTTCACCAAAATCAATGAATTAAGTTATAAAGTGCGTTTGTACAGTAATCAGTGAGGCCCAGCCATAGATGTATGTAGCACATTGCCCTCAGAAACACTCTGCTCTGGCAGCGTCATGAGCAAGAAAGTGTTTGATTGGACACAAAATGGGTTTATACCTCCGAGTGCTGGATGAGTCATCAACAACTTTTCATTGTTTTTCAGAAAATGGCAAACTCTAAAATAGCATCAAGAATACCTAAAAATACAAAATACAAAAAGAAGTTGGGCTTCCAAACCTTTAATTGTGCAACTAAATATTTTATATCAAATAATATTAGCTTATCCCATTACTGTGGTATCTGTTTAAAAAGAATGAAACTCACAGAAGAAATCATCTGTAAACAACAATCAAGCATTTTGAGTCAGTTTGGCGTCTCCAGCATTGTCTTCTAAATAACATTTAATCCAGCGGTGTTTGGTTTCATTTGTGCTTTGCCTTCACAGCCACCAGAGCCAAGATGAGCATGATGAACTCCATGTCACGTATGCGGGGACAGGAGAAGGGACCGGGCTACACACAGACCGAGACCATCCTGGGAGAGTCCATGCAGAGGTTTGGCAGGGAGCTCGGAGAGGAGTCTAACTTCGGTGAGCTGCTGTGGATTCTCACAGAAAGAGAAGCACAAGCCCTTTTTTTTTAATACTTCAGAGAACAAAGTGGCATTATTCTATGCCTCAAGGTCGCAATAACAGTGTTATGAAAAATGCATGCAGACACGATGCCTGAAGTTTGTTTTGTTATTTAGTTCACAAGTGAAGGCATTCAAATGCTGTTTAAAGAGAAATACCTGTCTTCAAACTCTAATGAGATAGTGTTACGGGAGATGAACCTTTTTCTACACTATACACTGACTGCTGTATGTTGTTCATGAGTCTAAATGTGTCTTTATTTTTTCAGGCCTTGCTCTGATTGATGCTGGGGAGGCCATGCGTGAGCTTGGTGAGGTTAAGGATGCCCTGGACATGGAGGTCAAGCAAAACTTCATCGATCCACTGCAGAACCTGCATGAAAAAGATCTGAAGGAGATCCAGGTACGAGTGCAGAACTTTGATGCACCAAAAAAATAAATAAAAACATCTACGAGTCATCTTTTGGTCAAGGATTCAGATTTCTGGTCTTTTTTTGCAGCATCACCTGAAGAAAATGGAGGGTCGCCGTCTGGACTTTGATTATAAGAAGAAACGTCAGGCCAAAGTGACAGAGGACGAGCTTAAACAAGCATTAGAGAAATTCGACGACTCCAAGGAGATTGCTGAGCTGAGCATGTTCAACCTCTTGGAGAGTGATGTAAGGATCATTTTACTTGACTTTGACTAAGCCTGATCAATTAACAGTACTGTCATGCAGTTTTTACTTATCCTGTGGCCTACTGCCTATATATATATATATATATTCTACAATCGAAACAAATCTTAAAATACTACATTAAATCACCACAATGTGTGTTGTTTTTTTTCAAGAAAAACAATTGATCAAGTGATTGTTGGTCTTATGTTCACCAGATGGACTGAAACATGACTACATTAAGTGCTAATGTTTCTTTGTCTATTGAATGTGGCAGTTTATTTGCATAATGACTTTATAAAGCGAAATACTAGCCTCAGGTATATATGGTGATGTGTGTTAGCTAAACAATCTCACCACAGGATCCATCAGTATCTGTTCTGGACCTTTCTATGTCACAGTCTTCCTCAGCAGAGGAAGCTTGTCCAATTGTAGATGTTCAAATTGTGATTTCAA